GGCTCGAGAGCTCCGCCCACGTGTGGGTCGCCGGGCTGGACCTGCTCTACGCCCGCGCCGCCGCGGGGAAGCCCTTCGACCTGCTCAACAGCGACTACAACAAAAGCCTCCTCGTCGCGCTGGTCGCCGGCCTCGCGCTGGTTTGCCTCGCCGCGCGTTATTTCGTCGTCCGAAAGAGCCTGGCGGTGGTCTGGGCGTAGCCCAAGGCCCTCGGCTTCATCGACCCAAACGAAGGGCTTCGAAATCGACCGGTTGTTGGAAGGCGCCATAATAAAGGCCGTGGTGTGGTTTAAAAGGGGGAAAAAAAGAAAAAAAAACATAAGGGACTCATGCCGATAAAATAAAAGGAATGGGTCCTTTCGTGTGGTGAATGTTTGAAACTTAGGGGATAGCAAAGAAAAAAAAATATAAGTGAAATTGGGTTTATTTCTAAGGTTGAAGGTAATGCACGCGGTGCGATAGATAAAAGCCTGCTTCTTGCTGGGGGCGTTCTCGCCCTCACTAATGGTTCGATCGTGAACCACCAAACGGCATAAAGCGCCGTATCTACCATTCTCTTCTCTCTCTGTTATTTTTTCTTTTTCATTATTACACTGGGTTTAAAGACCACAAGGTAGCCGTTTCCTGAATGCAAACCGCTCTTCACCGCCTTGGATGGGTCGCTGTTCGTTGGATGGGCTTCGGATCTGGCCATCATTACTCAAATAATGGGAATCTTTGGGGGCGTCGGGGATGACATCTGCTTCTTTCCCCCTTATCTGAGCGTTAATGCGTCGTACCCCGAGGCCTATGACATGAATAACAGCGTTGCCCCAAGGAAAATAGCACGCGACACATGCGGCTCATTGGTCCTCAAGGGCTATTCACGCCGTCGCTTTTCACCGCTCTGCAGGTTAGAAGTTCACCGATCTCCGGTGGATGGTGGGGATAACATCGGAAGCTAAAATTGAGGGGGGGGGGCGCCAACGGTCCTCCTTTCGCAATCTTAGAAAAAAAAAGAAGCGATTGGGTCGATCGATGGGATTAAACATCCGCCAAATTAAACGGTGAAGGTGCAGGTGCTGGTGGAATTTGCGCACGAGTCGACTTCGCGTCTCCAAAATGCACCCCATAACGTTCATTCATTATAAATATATTACTACTTATAACCTGCTTTACGATCCAATAAACTGCATTGAGTTTTAACGAATGTAGTATGTTATTTTGCGATTCCTCCTTGACGGCTTCATCATATTCCCCCTTCTCCCCCCCTGATACCCTTTGTTGTAGTGATGGAATCCCTTTCCAGCGGGTTTTGTGCGGCAGCCCTGACCGCGTCCTTCGCGGCGTCGGGGCGAGCGGCCTGGGACGCCCAATGGTATCTGCCGACCCTACAAGTGACGGATATTCTTCTCTATTCCCCGCCGACGAAGGAGGCCGAGCGCTTTTATTTGGCCCTTTCGGACGGGGAATCGCTGCTGTGGGCCGCCGTCCCGCGCGGCGTCGCGCTCGAGGCCGCCATCGCGGACTACCGCCTCGACCGCGGCTGCTGCCTGACCCTCCAGGCCTACGAACTCGTGGCGGTGGCGAACAGGCTCAACGTCCTGGTCCTGTTGCGCGCGAGCTTTTCCAGCGACCCCCTCTCCCTGCTTGGCCAGCCGGAGGCGG